CCCCATTTCAGCTCAGCCCTGGGCTTTTAGTCCCGGCCTGAGCTGTATTGTGGTCTGTCTCCACCTCTTTCATGGTTGTTTCTGGCCATAGACACTGTTTGTCTGGATCCTGACACACGGACTGACTTCCTGGCTTGATCTCGGACCTTCCTGGCAATCACTGGACTGTGTCTGGTACTGGCTACTACCACTGGGACTGACCCTGACCTGCAGATCAACTTCTCAGCCGGACCTTGTACCTGCTTTGTCACTACGAACTCACCTGATGATCTGGACTCTCAGTTGAACCCGACTCCCATCCCTGGGCCTGCCCTGCTCCCACGTTGTGCTCCCATGTTGTGGGACAATGTGGGACAAGCCCTGGCTGACAAGCCCTTGCCCTGCCAGCCTTGTTATCTCCCTTGTCTCCTGGCTCCCTGTCACTTAGAAGCAGCTGGCCCCTCTCTCTGCCTTGACAGAAGAAAGCTTTCCCAGCAAAACACGTTGTGCCTGCCCCACCACGCAAGTCCCACTCTTCCTCTGCAAGTCCAGCCTTTTCTCCTACAAAGTCCCACCGCAACCCTTCCCTCCCCAGGATCTGTCTCCAAGCCATCCAGAGCCCCAGCCAGCTCAGCTTGCTGTGATGGCACCATCTCACCGGGCTAGGGTGGGTGCTGCAAGATGAGCTGTTACCCGGACAGTCCCTAGCTGTACCTGTGATGACAAATAAGTCATCGAGCTTCAGGGAGAAAGCTGATGTGCATCCTGGATACTGGATATTGTTTTAAGCCCTGGGGGACAGGCTGGGAGAGATCACAACAGAAAAGGGTAAAAATACAGCTATTGTGAGTGCCTGTCCCTGTGCTGGGGTGGGAGGGCACCATCCCAGCATTGCTCCAAGGCATTGGGATCAGTGCTTATGGATACCAATGTATTAGCACTGCCTCTTGCAAACACTCTGCACCCAACGCACCCAACAGCAACATGAAGGGAGGAGGCTGAAATGGGACTGGGCAGTGTTTTGAAGCAGATACGGTGGTCAGTGGGTGACCAGAGGTCTCAGGTGTGACAGACTCTGCCGAAGCTGGGAGCATGGTTAAGAAGCACCTCTGGGGAGCAGGGCCTGGGCTCAGCATGAGTGTGTTGTGTTAGCTGGCAGGCGAGGTGGGACATTGTACGGCACTGTCAGGAAGGCGGCCAGCAGATTCCTCAGCGATGGGGTAGCGCTGAATGACCTCAGAGCACAAATGGTCTGCGCAGCTGGTGGACTCCTCTGAGCACCCTGCCTGTGCCGAGGAGAGCTCAGGGCCCCTGCTCTCCGTCCAGGAGGCAGTCCTCACCCTGTAGCACCCTGCAGATTGGCTTGCTTGCCTGCCTGCTGAGGCTGGAGGGGAGGAAAGTGTTGGCAGCTCACAGAATTATTAATAGAAGAAGAAGTAGGAAAGCAACGGGGAAAGTCAAAGAGCTATTCCCACTCCAGCATCAGGCACAAATCTGGTTCTGAAAAAGGCTGAGCAAAATTGAGTACTGGAAATGAAGGGATCATGACTGCTCTGAAAAGCTGCTTATGGTCAGTTTGAAAACATATAGAAAACCTGAGTATTGCCATAGACTACAACATTAAAAGAGCAGTGCCATTTTAGGTCCTGGTAAAGGAGCTTGGTGTTCCTATTTCAGCAGCTTTCTCTCACATATGTCCCTGCTGATAAGCCTCCATACCAGTGTGGTGTCAAAGAGTGCTCTCTTGGGTCCAAATGGGCATCAAATCTTCCATCACCCTAGATGCTGTTTGCACCTTCGATAGTACAGAATGGAAACTAAAGAGCCACATGGGGTTGGGTAACTCTGAGACAGGAGTACACACCTCTCCACGCAACTCACCTTCTCCGGAAATCACCAGCGTCATTAGCCAGGGGTATTGCAGAGAAAGGGTTCTCACTAAGGCCAACAGTTGAGAAACTGAGTGTCCTGCTAGTGGTGTGTTGGAGCAGTCAGTCCCCTCAGTAGCTCTTCGGGTACTTGCTGGAGCCTGGTGGATTTCTCTTTGAAGGGGCAGCGTTCCAGTTGCAACGATACATCTGTCATTGTCTGATTTTGAGCACTCACTAATAGGAATTCAACCCTGATCCTTTAAAGCTGTGTACAGCGTGTACCTGAAGAATTCCTGCTATTCTGATGGGAGTGAAATGGGCTGTTGTGTGTATGCCAAGGAAGAGGGATAAGGGAAGAGGAGGAAGTACTAAAGAGGTGTGGGAGAGTCCTTCTTGACTAGGTCCCTTCACTGCAGCTGCTTTAGTCCAGCTGTTCATCATGCAGTTGTCATGGCTATGACTTTGTGACACTGGCTGCCATGTCCGGCTCTTGGGCGTGTTCACGTTCCATTATTTTTCTGTGTGCTACCTATTCTGAGCCAGGCATGCAAGGGACAGGGTGTTTATCATGCTAAACCCAACAATAATTCAGAGGAGGAAAAGGATGCATTTTCATAAAGTATTTGTTGTTAGATAGGCCATCCCCAATGCTTGTGTGTGTCACAAAGCATAAACATGCATCTGAAAGGAGTCTTTGCAGTGGACAATATTAGGCAATCTGAACAGAAGTGCCATTAATATCCACTTGAAATTCCTCCCCTCTTCCACTTTTCTTCTTCTGTTCATCTCCAGTGGTTGCCTACAGTGTTTGCCTGAAGGATATGTAGAGATCCACAACTGACCTTGACTTACTGCTTTTTGCAAGATTCTTTGTGGGTCTCCTTACGGCGCTGAAGGCAAATTGTTCTGCATGGCTGGAGACAGTGTATCCTCAAGTCCACAGCCTGGGACCAACTTTCCGAAAGACAAAGGCAGTCTTGGTGACATCATATTTCCAGTTCTGCCAGTGCTGACTTTGACCAATATCTTGGTTGCCAGCAGGACAAAATGTGTGCAGCATGGGTGAGATAGGTGTAGGTGTTAAATTACAGAGGTCCTGAAAAGCACAAATGCTGACTTCATCAAGTAGGACAGCAGGTCCTAGGACGTCCAACAGATGCTCTGTGCCCAATCCTCAGGGAACAGAGAGCAGGGAGTCTCACACACATGTGATACCCGGTATGTGACATTTTCCCTGTGTTGTGGGAATGCATGACAAGCCCTGCAGAGGTAGTGTCAGATGAAGGCAGGTATGGGGCAAGCCCTCAGCCAAATTGCTACTTGTTGGTGCACTGCAGGCAAGGCTGTGGAAGAGGTCTCTTGTCTGAGCCAAACCACTCAGCAGGTCGCAATCTCAGTAGGAATGTAAAACATAAGAAATCTGTCTCTTAAAAAATTTGCTGGAAAATCAGGAAGACTGCCATATTTTGTTCCTAGATCTGGAAGAAGGTTTGAGTTAGTGATTGGAATGGAGGAGAGAGGGACTGGGGAGTCAGGGCATCTGGGTTCCTTTCCCAGCATTGTCTTGTACCTGTGACTTCAAGCAAGTCCCCAGAGACACTTCTCAGTTCGACTTCTGACTTGTGGCTAAAGTAGAGGCAACAGTCTCATTCTGTCCCCCAGAACACCAGATAATACAGGGGCCACGCTCCTGGGGAGCAGTGGTTACACTACACCATTTATCCCAGTGCTGAATCCTTGGATATAGGTTTCTCCTGTACACTCGCACCGCCCTCAGCTGTAATGTTCCTGCCTGTAGTGACTTTGCACATTGAAGGCCTTTCCCAATCACTGGCGCATCCTTCAAGAATGAGTGTGAAGGGACAGCCTTGAATGGTACAAGACCTTCAGGTCATCAGCACCACAACCTCACTCCCCGCCTCTTATCCAGAAGAACAGGGACAGCTGGGAGCCTGACTGTGCTACTCTTCTTGCCCTGTGATTTGCACGATCTCTGAGAGGCAGCAGAGTTGCTCTTCACAGGTCTGTGATGGCAGTCCAGTGCATCTCACCTTACTGTTCCTATGTGGGGCAGAGCACTGAGTGACAAGCCCTTGGTGTAATTCCCCTCCCTTCAGGGAGCAGGCAAGACGGTTCAGTCCTGTGCTGGAGACCCAGAGTGCTTACGCACCCCCTATAAGGGGCTGCTCTGCTCTTCTGTTAGTGTCTTTCACCTCTGTCCTCTCTCAGTCTTCCTCACCATACTGTGCCCTGGAGGGAGTGCAGAGGCTCATCAGGTGCTTAAGCCTTGCAGGTCCCCTGCGTGGCTCCAGCTCTAGGTAACAGGGAGGCCAGTGGCACAGGAGTGTCACACCTGCACACATCACTGCTTCCGATATACAAATTGATCCATCTCCTTGTGAGCAAACACCTGTGCTTCAGAGCCAAGGTCTAGGACCTGCACGGTGTCAGTGTCCCCAGGGGTTGCTTTCCTCTCCACACTCAAGTGGAAGAAAGAGGACTCTGATACAGGAATATAGTTTGGGTGGAGGTACTGAGAAGAGGTGAAATGCCTGCAAGTCATTGTAGTTACCATTAACAATTTCACCTTCTCTGTAACGCTCTGTAGTACTGGTGTGTGTGTGAGGAGCCTGACCCACCGGGCCCCATGAAGGGACCTTGAAACAGTTATGGTTTGTGCCTGGTCTCCGGTGCTCACTGACACAGGCAACTGTGACTGACATGTCTTCAGACCCTTTGGTGGCCAAGAGCAAGCGCTGGCAGCCCACGGTCATTCTGAGCCCTGCCATCACGGCCGTACTCTTTCTTGGCACAGACCTAGATCAAGGACCATGCACCAGGGAGCTGCTTTGCTCCCTCAGCTGTAATGAGAGCCCAAGCTGGAGGGAAGGGATGAAAAGGGTGGGTCTGCCAAAGGGTCCCTGGGGCTTATGATGGTATGGCTAGAGCAGAAACAACAACCCCACCCCAATCCCTGCAACACCTCCCCCTTCCTCCTTCCATTCCCCCTCTTTTCTTCTCTCCCAGAGGTCACCTTCAGCAGGGAGGCAGTGTGCCCCCAGGACCAGAGCCATGGGGAAGGGGCGGAGCGTCACGCTTAGCCCCGTAATGCCTGGCAGCCCCCTCCGGCTGCTCGGCACAGGCTGAACCCAGCCCAGAGGCTGCAGCAGGGGAAGCGAGGCAGTCCACGGCCGGCCGTCAGTGCTGCGCTGCTGGAGAAGGTGAGAGGCTTGGTACAGACGGGGAGGGAGTGCGGGAAGAGAAGTTGCAGCCATGGCAGGGTGAAGGAGACCAGACAGGCATGTAAAAGGGCACCCACCCCTCATAAACCGCTTTTGGAGACTCCGGCGTAGCATGCCGGCACAACATGGAGCACACCCATTTCCCACATCTGGTTGATGGTGAGCTCGTTAGGTGGCTTTGCCCCGAAAGGTTGCTTTGTGTCCGGTTGTGTCCAGTGGGATGGTGCCCCGATACTGGCTGGTTGGTTGGGAGGAGGGTGTGATGTGGCTTGCTCCCTGCGAGATTGCTGCCGATTTGTGTTTGAGGAGGCTGCTGCGCGGGGATTGCGGTATACTGCTTGGGGGGAGAGGCTTACGGGGCTCTCTCCGGGGAGGCTGCTAGGTGTTTCTGCCCAAGAAGAGCAATACACAGTTCTGCTAAGGGGACAGTCATGTGGTTCTCCGCAGTGAGATTAAGCACTAGCCTGCTGACCAGTTTTAGAGAGAAGCTCGTAAATCTATCAGCAATAAGGCCAGAAACAACCACTGCAATAACCTATTCTGATCCCTTGCCTGTATTAAACACGGTTTGCGCTGGAGTGGATAGGGGAAAAAAAAGCGCCGTTCTTGAGTTAAAAGTTCCAGAGATGGAAGGATATTCTTCCATACTGTTTGATGAGATTTTTAGGGGCAAATATCCTTCTTCACAAAATCTGCACTGCAGTTGAGGTCTGAAATTGCCTCATTTCGGCTTCAGCTATTGGTTTTATTATAATGCTTTTACTTAATTGGGAGAGCCCTCTTTAGTGAAATTCTAGTAACCACAAAGGTACATACAGATGACGGAGTCACTTCTTTGCTATCTGTTTGATAAGCTAAAAAGACTGCTCCCCTGGAAGTTTCCCCTGTAATTATCAGCCCTGTTGTCATTCTCATGGTTCTTCTCTGGTCCTTTTTCTGTCAAACTGTGGACACCAGCGCTAGCTTGCTGAACTGCAGTCTCACCGATACCGTTAAAAAGATAGAAAACATCCAATAGCTAATTCTGTTGACCCATCAGCTGGCCTCCAGAAGAGTTCAGGAAATTTACCCTAGAGAAACCAGGCTTTCACATCAGTATATTTTTAACATTCAAAAAAAATCATAAAAAAGTAGATAAAGAAGAATGCAAAGCAGAGCAAATGGAAGGAACACATTTCTAATAAAAGTACAAAATCCACTAGTGCATGATATTCTCAGTTCTAGTGCAGAAGTCATTAGCAGGTGGCCAGCTCTTCAGAAATACAGCTTTCCTAACTCAGCTGATTTTCAGAGATTAAATTTCAGACTGTCTCAGGGCATCTGTGTGTAGGAACCTCTGCAGAAACTAGAGTTCACTGTAAGAGGCATATCGTCTCAGAACAGATATCTTCTTTTGTTATAATCTATTTTAGTCTATCTAAAGCTGAATGGCTATATCTATTTTTTTGTTTACAGTGAAACTTATTTTCTTAATTTAGCATCTGGAAAATGCTAGTTTGCCTCTCACTGCTGGTGTTTCCTGCCTCTGATGCTTTTTGGGCATTCTCTTCAGCAGAGTGAATGCAAAAGTGGAACCTACAACACCAGTAACCCTTGTACCGTTATTCTCTTAGACTTGTATCTGTATCATTAAGATGTGTATGTATATCGCTGTAGATTATTTCTAGTGCAATTCTGTATCATCCTACACATTAAGGCCTGCAAAGGAAGAGAGGCTATACCAGATCTACCTTTCTGAGTTTACACAGTGCCCATTTTATCTACAAAGCAGCATGAAGAACTTAGATTTGTCTGATTCACATGACATTTCTTTTTTTTTTTTCCTGTCACTCAATGCCAGACTAAACTCCTGACTTCTTTAGTCACTTGAAACACTTTTGTATGTGCATATGTGCATGCACTAGTTTTATCAAGCAATGCATTATCTACCCAAACACATTTTCTGTCAGTTGCAAACGTTTCCTGGATGATTTCAGTGCTTTCTCCTAGATCATTGACAAAGGCAAAAGTATTATAACAGAGTCAGGTTTTAACAAAATTAATTGTATAGGGCGAGGACACCAATAATTTCCACTATACTGGGCTTATTTTAAAATCCATTAAAAATATGTGGCTTACTGATTTTGACCAATGCCAGGATGAATTTGTACAGATAGCTTTCAGGGAACGATCAGTGAATGGGACGTTTCTGGCAGGTGCTGTCCGAACCAATACCAGGCTGAGAACTGCTCCAAACTCCCACCAGCAATTTAGAGGCTGATAGCAAACCCCCACAGGTAGGGTCCTTACACAGCCCCTAGACAGAAATGAACACAGTGTTTTGATAACAACAGAGACACCAAGTGAGCTGAATTACTTGATACGCTAAGTCCATTTGAGTAAAATGTGCTTTACTAAAGGTGGTGCAAAAGTATTCAGGTAGAAACAAGGCAGGCAACACCCAGGAAGGGATGTGGAGAGGAGGTGGAGTTTTTCCCCAAAAAACCCCAGTAATTTGGAAAAACTCTGGACTCATAATGGATGTATAAGGTAGTGCAGCTTCTCAGTGTGGTGTTCCTGCAAAAAGAGATCTTGGGGCCACAGCATAAGGCAGAGGGTAATTCTGGCTGAATGTGTTGCAGGAGACATTCCCTCAGGAGCAGTTGGTGGTTTAGCATGGGGGGGAGAAAAAATGGTGAGGCTTCAGAAAAGAGCCATAAAACAGATCTGAGAGCTGGACAAAAGGCCTCAGTTTGAGAACGGGACAGAAGGTTGTTTGAAGGTATTTAACCGGTAAGAAGACTGAGAGGTGTCTTGATCTCCATCCAGAGAGCATGGAGATGTTTATTCAAAATTCAAAATGTGACTACAATTTCTGGAAGCATCCTATCTGTTTTTAAACTAACTGATATGGGCACTACAGAAGCACAGTGTGCCAGATGGTTTGTGAAGCCTAAGTAAAGCGTTGGTTAAATACATAGCCTGAGTTTCAGGCTGTTACCCTGCTAGTTTTACTCAATCTAAGTAGTTTAAGACATGTTCTCATAGGCTGTGGTCATACCTCCGACCACAGTGCATATAAACCCTGCAAGAGTCAGGAGAAATATAACAGGCACTAAAAAACCCTTTTCTCTAGCTGAGAAACTTCAGCAGCAGGTTAGGTAAATTCGGATTAGGATATCATATAAATACGTAACAGCGAGAATGTTAACACTGGCTTTTATAGTGACTTTTTTTGAGCAAAGTTTGTCTTTGGATCAAGCCTGCATGACTTTTTTTAAGAGGTGCCCCAAATGTTATTGGTTATTTGGTTTGGGTTAAAGCTCTGTAGAAGGTCAGACAAGACAATGGACCCTACATGCCATATGCTCAAGGCCATTTTTAATGGAGCATCTTTGATATGAGGAGAGGCTGAGACAGCTGAAACTCTTCAGCTTGGAAAAGAGAAGGCTCAGAGGGGATCTTATTGATGTATATAAATACCTGATGAGAGGGAATGAGGAAAAGGGAGCCAGACTCTTCTCAGTAGTGCTCATTGACAGGACAAGAGGCAATATGCACGAATTAAAACACAAGGAATTCCATCTAAACACAAGAAAACACCTTTTTTCGGGGGGGGTGGTTGGTTTTTTTTTTACTGTGAGAGTAGTCAAACAACATGATATGTTGCCCAGAGAGGTTGTGGAGTCTCCATCTCTGGAGATATTAAAAACCTGACTGGACACCTGCCTAGATAACCTGCTTCAGCTGCCGCTGCTTGAGCAGGGGAATTGGATTAGATGATCTCAAGAGGTCCCTTCCAGCCTAAACACCTCTGATTCTGTTGTGATAGCACCATCTCTGTTGTACAGAGATTACACTGTCTTTGGGTCTCGACGTGTATGATGAAGTGCTTTTCTGGACCAAATTTACTGATCATTTTGGCTGAAGAACCAGAATAACATTACCTAGACCAAGACACTATATCTCCACAGGCTAGCTCCTTCTCAGCTCCTCAGGAAGTTGGGAAGCATCTCCCGATGGTGGAAAGGATGTGAATTTCTTGCTGCTGTAATTAGAGACTCTTTTAGGGAATTAGGGTTTCTCACATGTTGACAACCTGGAAACAGGACCTCTAGCAGGGATGAAGCACAGGAAGGAGGAGGAAAGAACAGTTTTGAAAAGGACCCTGCCTGCTGCCTTCAATACAGCACAGCCAAATGGTGAGTGCATCCTGGCCAGGGCCCTGGTGGCCTCCTCCCCAGCAGAGTGCTTGTCAATCTGCAAAGGACAAATGGCACTCTAGAAGGTAACAGAGGTAGGTGCAGAGCACCCAGGCACACTCTACTCAGTGGTGACCCAAATTTGGCCCTCACTTAGCTTCCTAGCTAATGGCAGTGGTATCTCAGAGAAAGACCTCACAACTTTGGCTATTTCCTGAAGTATGGACTGTGTCCTGTAACCAATTTCCTCAAGGGCAGCAAGGGCCAAAGCCTGCAAACTGTTCTGGGGTGTCTGCAGCTGGGGCTTCCTTCATATGGAGCCCTGATCAGTCCCACAGGATTGTCACTGTCCTGCAAGACACTCTACCTGTATCCTCTGGCTGATCTATTTTTCCAAGCTGGCTATTTCACTTTGATGCTCTACTCTGTACCCAAACAATCTGCCTTCCCATGTCAGTGGGGCCATGCATGGAAGTAAGGATCCTTGCCACCTATATTGCAGTCCACTTGAAATGTGGAGTGGAAGGACACAAGAGTTTTTTGGATTTTTTTTATTGCAAAAGCTTATGGACCGAAATGTTTTGAATCCCAAAGCTGGAGTGAGAACCAAGAATATATAGAGAAGCATATCATCCCATTCACAAAAGCAAGTTTTCACACAGTAAATAGGAGAGAAGTAATGAATCATATAAAAAATAGAATATTGAATCAATAAAAAATATGAATCATATAATAAATAATTCAATACAAATAAAAACAGATTAATGAATAGATATTTGAAAATTATATCATTATTGAATAATACATTAAGTGGATGCAGTGAGAAGATTCTAACCTTTGGGTTAGATAGCACTAACAGGTGGCCAGCCTACAAGGGAAAAAAATTTATCTAACTCAAGTTTGAGAAATTAAGTTACCTGAGAAGGTGATGAACCATTTGCTGACAAGAACTTGTATATGACCATGAATTTGATGTAGGAGAAACACTATCTTATGGAAGAGATTTTTTGATATTTTTTTCACAACTATAAATCTAATGTGTTCTACACAAGAGAAGCAGACATCTCTCCTGTTGTTCCACTCCCTATTTAGTGTGGCTTTAGCCTATCTAATATCAAGGGGAGGTCTATGTCTTTCAAAGGTCTATTACATTTCAAGTTTTTTCTCTATATTCCTAGCTAGGACTCTTTAAAAGGCTTTTTCGGCTATCTGTTTTAACACCTAAATGTGGCAACACCAGTTTGGAAATGTCAGTGGCAGAGTGGGTCTGTTTGCGGGTTCTGCGATGCCCTTGCTGTGTGGAATTTCGCAAGCTGTGCCGGCTGGGCAGCAAACAGGAGGACATCAAAGCAAAATCTCTAAAATATTTTCCAGACCATCTTTCCCTGTGAATTTCTCCCCAGCCTTCCATTAATCCCCTCCCATGCACGCACGTGTTCATTGTTGAACTCCCTACGGACTGTATTAACTGTGACTGCTGTTAGCTCTCACCAAGCCAAAGCCTTTGCAGAAAAGTAGGGCCAATTACTTGGTACTTCTGAACTGGGTAAGGGTTAGCAATGCAGTCTAGGAGAGAAGGGAAGGGAAAAGAAGGGGAGCTCTCCCACAAGCAGTCCCAGTCTCCTGTTCAAATCCAGCCTTTTTGTAGTTTTCCTCGGTTTAAATAATTCTGTTGCTACATTACTGGATTCTTAAGAATGACCAGATTTAGCAGCATTGGGGTCTGGAAGTTGAAGGAACTGTGATAAGCTCTGGTCACAGATAGAGCAATGTAAAAACTAAGGGGAAAGGCTTCATTCTTTCCGCTCCCACTCATATTCCCAGGATGCCATCTTCCTTTTTAGCAACATGAGGTCCTATTCCCTCCCCCCGAAAGGCATCATGTGAGTCAGAGTGTTTCATGGGAAGAGATCCTGAGTTTGTAGGTGCAGAGGTGAGCCACTGGTTTTACCCCAGAGCTCTGTCTCACTGCACACTGTTTAAGACACATCCAAGAATGCTGCAGCCCTCAGGCTCCTGGGTTGCATCCTAGGCTGCATTAGGCAGGTCGAGGGAGGTCCTTCCTCTGTACTCAGCACTAGTGAGGCCACATCTGGAGTAGTGGGTCCAGTTCTGGGCTCCTCAGCAGAAGAGAGATGTGGACATACTGGAACGAATCCAGTCCGTGAAGATGATTAAGGTATTGGAGCATCTCTCATACGAGGAGAGGCTAAGAGAGCTGGGACTTGTTTAGCCTCAAGAGGAGAAGGCTCGAGGGGATCATCTTATCGGTGTGTATAAATACCTGTAAAAAAAATGACAGCCAGGGTCATCTTAGTGATATTGAGTGACAGGACAAGAGGCAGTGGGCCTGAAACACAGAATTTCTATTTAAGAATAAGAAAAAACTTTTTTACCATAAAGGTGATCAAACACTGGAACAAGTTGCACAGAGCAGTTGTGGAGTCTTCATCCTTGGAAATATTCAAAACTGGAGTAGACACAGTCCTGAGCAACCTGCTCTAGTTAATCTTCATTGAGCAGGAGGTTGCACTAGGTGATCTCCAGAGGTGCCTTCTGACCTCGACCATCTTGTGATTCTGGTTCTGTGACCTTGCTCCAGAGCCAGGAGGGGCTCCCAGGCCCAGGGTGCCTGTGTTCAGAGCACAGGGAGGTAGTCAGGGGGAGAGTGCTGCCACAGGTGCCTTAAAATGCTGCCTTGTAGCTGGCTGGGGGGACTGAAAAAGCATTTCTCTGAAATGGGTCTGAAGTAGCTGGCTGTAGCTCAAAATGCCATTGATGTCCAAGCTTCCTTCCTGCCTAAGTTTCTTGGCTGCACAGATGAGTGACTTTGGGTGAGAAATATCATCAGGCGTGTGAGGTACTGAGCTCCCTTTTGCTTGCTCGGAGCACACTGCCTCTGACTAGTAATCCCTTTTTTGTCATGGGCTAGCTGTGCCTCTGCCTAAGGGGCAAGTCTGTCTCCGCTGCTACCTCAAGGACTTTCTTCAATGAGCAGTAGGGGTGGGTTTCTGAGTAGAGAGACATGGTCTTGCTGCAGTAGGCTAAGGAGAGCAAGAGGACTGGGTCACACTTGATAACCTGGGACTCTGTTAATGTTTTGCTTGTTGCCTAACACCTTGGAGACTAGAATAAGAGGAGGCCTGGAAGGCCAAGCATTAGTACAGCTGACACAGAAAGGTGATCCAGGTCTTTGAAATGAGAGGCCCCAGGGACTACAATTAGAGTCAAGCATCTATCTGGAGGCTGGAAAGGATTAAAGGGCTGAAGGAAGTTCCCTTCAATACAGGACCTTTTATATGATGAGCGGTTTTGCCCAGAGGTGTACTGTATAAAAGCACAAGCTCAACTCTAGCACAGCTGCAAGAGTGCTCAAGCTCCAAGTGGCAGAAATATCCCCTGCCATGGCATGGTTTGCATGGCGTGTCCGAGCTGGTTTTCTCTGTGCATGTTGTGATGTTCCTGACTCGGGCTGTGGTGTTTCTGCAGCACTCAGCAATGGCCGAGAGCTCAGCTGCAGCTGTGGCAGCGGCAGGGACAGCGGCACCAACCGTGTTAGATGAGCTCCTGGAGATCACAGCTCAGAGCCTGGTGCGCACCGAGGTGGCAGAGCACTATGAGGTTATTCGGGAGCTGGGCAGGGGCAAGTATGGCCACGTGATGCTAGTGACCCACAGGCAGAGAGGTAAGGAACTGACTGCACCTTATGAGCTACTGTGCCTTGCCTCCTCTCCACTTGCCAGGGCGCTGGGTGGGCTGGTGGGTCCTTGGGGTCAGGCACCAGGCATGGTGGGGGGTTCCCCGGGAGGCTGGCAGGACAGGGACCTCCTCAGCCAGGGACCATCCCATTGCACCCAGCCAGGGAGCAGGTGATGCCAGGGGGCAGGCCAGAATATCAGGCAAGGTTATAGCGATGAGGCAGGTCCAAGGTCAAGCCGGGAAGTCAGTCTACAAGTCAGGATCAATAGGGTTCATGGCTAGGCACCGGCATGGATGTATAGTTGGAAACGAGCACTCCCACCACACAGCTCAGGCAGGGAGTGAAGTCCCAAGCCTGAGCTTAAATGGTGCCCTAAGGCCCATGGACAGAGGCTGTGAGTGGAGGTCCCAGGTGGGGTTGGCCAAGGCCATTAAGGCCTATGAGTACCCACAGGGCCCTGACACTACTCTTCCCCAGTAGTCCCAGCTCAGACTGATGGGCCCATGTAGCCTTGTTCTGCCCAGTGCTCCTGTGCATGCACTGACTGGCTCAAAACTCACACCAGCGGCAGTGCCTGCTCTCAGATCTGGTGTCCACAGGATATATTCACACAAAGCTTTGGGCCAGAGACCTCCCTGTGGCTGTGAGTGTCCGGACCCATGGCTGCTCTGTGCCCTCTCTGTCTGGCCTTGGTGTGAGTGACTTTCAGGGGAGTCTAACCCACTCTCCCCATCCCCAGGGACTCCTATGGCTCTCAAGCTGCTACCCAAAGCCAGTACCAAGCTGCACACCTTCCTGTATGAGTATTGCGTGGCACTGTCCCTCGCCACCCACCCTGCCATCATCGGCATGTTTGGAATTGCCATCGAGTCCAGCCAGTACTATGGCTTCCTCTACGAACCAGCACTGCACAAAGACCTCATCTCTATCATCAAGCCCCGGGTGAGTGCTGCTACAAGGCTATGGGGATTGGGACTGTTTGGCCCCTGTGCAGGCTGGCTGGGTCAGAGGAAGGGAGATAAAGGCAATGGGCTGTGAGTCTCTCTGGGGTCTACAGCATTGAAGCAGCTTTAGGCTTGCAAGACCAGAAACACAAAGGTCTTCCCCAGTGCAGAGCACACAGGTGAGAGCCCAGCTGGCAGGGCTGCCAAGGTGCCCTGCGTGTGCCATACCGCCTGTCTCTCTCCCTGTGCAGGACGGGATCCCTGAGCCAGCCGCTAAGCAGTGTGCCAAGCAGCTCGTGAGCGCGCTGGAGTTCATCCACAGCCGAGGGCTCGTGTACCGTGATGTCAAGCCTGAGAACGTGCTGCTTTTCGATCCCGAGTGTCGGCGCATCAAGTTGACTGACTTCGGGCTTACGCGGCCCAAGGGTACCAAGCTCAAGCTGGTGGCTGGGGTAATCCCCTACACAGCCCCCGAGCTAAGCAACACCGCTGATGCCCAAGGAGTGCCCATCGACACCAGCTTGGATGCCTGGGCTTTCGGTGTGCTGCTTTTCTGCCTGCTGACTGGCTACTTCCCCTGGGAGCAGAGCCTGCCAGATGACCCTTTCTTTGAGGACTTCATGCTGTGGCAGGAGACGGGCCTGGAGGAGGACCTGCCCCGCCACTGGAAACGCCCGACGGCTGAGGCCCCCCCGATGTAGCCTGCTGGCCCTAGATCCCTCCAAGCGTGGCCCTGTCAGCGGGGCGCTGCGCTACGTCGATTGCCCTTGGCGGCTGGAGGACAGGTGCAGTGAGGAGGCTGTGGTGAAGCCCTAGAGCCCGCTCCCCATGCAGGGAGGGAAGGCGGGTCTCACCCTGCAAAGGATTCGGGGTCCAGGGCAACACGGTGGCCCAGGTGTGAGAGGCCATGGTGACCCAGAGAGCAACTTCTCTGCAGCACTGTCCCTGCCACCACGGACCCAGGCTCCTTCCCCAGCTGATGGTCCTCACCCCATGGCTCAGTGCTGCCCAGTGCTACCTCCTTGTGTTTCCTTGGGGCTTGAAAACATCTTCTTTCTCTTGGAAACGACTGTCCACATGTGAAGCACCCACTTGCTTCCTGGCCACAGGGAATCCAGGGCATTTTCTAGGGGCTGCAGCACCTGCCTTGTCTCGAAATAGAGCAAAATACATAATTTTGTGTTTCCGTATGTGGCTCTTTTCCCCTCATAATAAAATGCCTGTGGGGGCCCGCTTGCTGTGGGAGAGTGGGGGCATGACAGAGCCTGCAGCCATCTCAGGACAACCTGCACAAGGCAGGGGCCACCCCTGGATGATGCTGCCTGGGCCTCCATCAGGACCCTTGAAAGGTGGCTTCAGGCTGGTGGGGTGGAGGTGCTGGGGACCCCTCAGCATGTGGCTGCGGATGGTAGCTGGGGACTGATGATGGCGTTGAGAAGGTGGTGGAAGCCATGGAGGTGGAGTGTTGGAGAAAGCCACAGGGAATCGCACATTGAACCTGCCCGCTGCCATGCATTTCTTCCCGTTTCCTTGTGTTCAGGACCAGGTGACAGATGGGCTCTTCTGCACGGACGGTTGTTAGCAGCAGGAGTCTCAGTGTCAGTTTGCACAAGTGTCCCCCTCTAGTTCCTGTCACTCAGGAAAATGGCCTTCTGCAAACACTGACAGCCCTGCTGAAGCACAATTCATCCCTCTCCCTCCTCGAGTGACTCAGGTGCAAGTGGAAAGGTGAGCTCACTGCCACGAATGTCCACATGTATGATTCAACTGAGAAGACAGTAGCACTGTGAGGGTGGTTGGCCTGGGCGTCACTGAGAAAGGCTAACAGAGTAGCTGTAACCACAGGTTGCATGAGTTTATCCATATGAATAACCCCAGCAAAATTCCCCTAGTGATACCTCCCAGCAGTCTTACACCATTGCCTTGCTCTCATTCATCCTCCTCCAGACTGACTGCTCCTTCCTCATAGAGCCAGCCATTCTCTGTACAAGCCTCCACTACCACTTCTTCCCTGCTCCTATTCTCCTGAATCCTTCAGTCTCAAGGAACCATTTCCAAGACTATCCAACACCAGCCCAAGCACACCTCCTCCCTTTTACTGCCTTCAGGTCCTAAGAGAATGTCCTTCACGCTCTTTTAGATGCCTGGTTACCCCTCTAGAAGACCTTTCTTCTCCCATTTCCTATCACCACTTTAACCCTTCCCCAGCAACCCACCTCTCCTAATCCCCCAATGTCCTTCTAGGTGCACATTTTAATCCTGGAAAGAGGTAGCAAGGAGAGAATTAGAGGTTAGAAGCTCTTCTTACTTTGCTACCTCTTTCCAGTCTCCAGGATTATGCTGTTGGTAATCCCTTCCAGCTCTTAGCCTGGTCCTATTGCTGGAAACATTCCCAGCTCAGTTTCCATTCTCAGTGGCTTCGTAACTTCTAAAAATGCACTGTTCCAGAACCATACTTTCTAGCATCCCAGCTTTTCTTTCACCTCAGATCCTTTCCTGCACACACTCTCCTGTATTTCCTCAACCTCCAGCTCTCTTTTTCCAGCTTCTTCTCACCCACTGGCATTTTATCATTACTTACCTTTGCCGCTAACAATTCCCTTTCTACTACCCATCACCTGGTAAGCACCTTTCGCTCATTCCTCTCTCAGCAACATCACCTCCATACTACTCTTTTGTACTTTTCCTGCTCCCTACATCGCTTATCCCTTGTGTCTTCCTTCCAACTCCCCAACCTACCTTATCGACCAGCATCGTGCTCACCCTGTTCAAGATAGTTTTCTTCTGTCCTCTCCCATCTCTTAGAATCTTTCATTATCCAAAAACGTAATAAATGCTGCTCAACTTTGGCCTGCTGAGATTTGGCTTTAATTACTCTCTGGTTACTGTAGGAATAGCAGAGGAGTGTATTGTGGTTTAACCTCAGTCAGCAACTGAGCACCACACAGCCGCTGGCTCACTCCTCCCCCCCGCCCGGTGGGATGGGGGAGAGAATTGGAAAACCACAAGTGAGAAAAACTCGTGGGTTGAGATAAAAACAGTTTAATAATTGAAATAAAATAATAATAATAATGTAATAATAATAATAATAATACACAAAGCAAGTGATGCACAATGCAATTGCTCACCACCCACCGACCGATGCCCAGCCAGTCCCCGAGCAGCGGCCCCCCCCGGCCAGCTTTCCCCAGTTTATGTACTGAGCATGACGTCACATGGTATGGAATGTCCCTTTGGCCAGTTTGGCTGTGCCCCCTCCCAGCTTCTTGTGCACCTCCAGCCTTCTCAGTCGGTAGAGCACGGGAAAAAGTCCTTGACTAGTGTAAGCACTGCTCAGCAACAACTAAAACATCGGTGTGTTATCAACTTTGTTCTCCTCCTAAATCCAAAACCCAGCACTGTACCAGCTACTAGGAAGGAAATTAACTCTATCCCTGCCGAAACCAGGACAGAGTGTTAAGGTACCAACACAGCTCCTGTATTTAAAGTGGAGAAGCCCTAAGACCAATGGATCTATAGGCCAGGTAGCTGACAACTATCCAGTGAGAAATAATGGAAAATATGATACAGATGATTGCTAATAGAGAATTATAGAACAGAAATGTGGCTTTTTGGAATGTGACACTTTTAGCATTCTATTTGATAATAAAGTTGTGTTTGCTAAAGTAAATTCATAGTGTTATGGTGCACAATTTTTGTGAGGCATGACCTATTGATATAAAGAAAATTACAGTATGTTGTATTGATTAAGAAGATGTACTATGCAAAGTCAATAAAGCATACATTAAGTGAATTGAAAACTTTCAATGGACAGAAAAAATAATTGTCAGTTGGGAATGAAAACTGGTCAACATTTCCATCCATGATTTGAAGGTAAATACAAAACCATTGCAGGTAAAACCCTGCAGATGACACAAACACGAATAGGGTGATAAACAGCAAGAGGAACAGGCCACTCAGAGAGATCTGGATAACTTGTAAGTAAGTTGGGTGTATTCAAGCAAAATACATTTTCTTACAGGCAGGAGAAATGTATTCAGGTAGGAACACGTAGGAATAAAAACCATCCTCACAGAAGGACCCCTGAAGAAACTTTGCAAGTCACAGAGGATACACAAGATCGCATGAGTTCTCATTGTGTTATTTTGTCAAAAAAGGCTAATGGACACCTTGTGTGGCTAAAGAGGGGCATACACTCAGGGTGGTCAAACCTCCGGCAGAGGCAGCTGACAAGACTAAATAGGAGTGTGGGAAAAAAGGGTGAGTGATCAGTGTTTGATGCCTCACAGGACAATCCTGGGGATGGCGCCACATTTACAGGCAAGCTGGAAAGCTGGTGGCGGCTCAGAAGAGAACCATGGTGGAGCTGTGCTTTAAAGCTGTAAGAAAGTCTTCTTAAAGAATGTAATGAGCTGAACTATCTAAAACAGGAAGACTGAACAGTCATTTGTTTTTGGTATAGAATACTGGGAAGAAAATACTTACTACTAATGACCTATTTTAGTTTGAGAAAGGTCCAAGGGCAACCACGAGAGGCTGGAGCCAAACACATTCAAGTAAGCCACAACATTGCAGTAGTGAGGGTTCTTGCCTACTGAAAGAAACTGTCATATGAGGAGAGGCTGAGAGAGCTGGGACTGTTCAGCCTGGAGAAGAGAAGGATCAGGGTGGATCTTATACTTCTTTATACTTCTGGGCACAAGTAGAAACTGGGAGAGGAGTGGCTGGAGAGCAGCCCTGCATTCTATTCTATTCTATTCTATTCTATTCTATTCTATTCTATTCTATTCTATTCTATTCTATTCTATTCTATTCTATTCTATTCTATTCTATTCTATTCTATTCTATTCTATTCTATTCTATTCTATTCTATTCTATTCTATTCTATTCTATTCTATTCTAATCAATGTGTATAAATAACCAATGGGAGGGTATAAAAAAGACACAGCTGGAGTCTTCACAGTGGTACTAGTTGACAGCACAAGAGGCAATGTGCACAAATTGAAATGCAGGAAATTCCATTTAAACATAAGAAAAATGGCTTAATGGTGATGGTGGCCAAACACTGGAACATTGGTTGTGGTGTCTCTGCCTTTGGAGATATTCAAAAGCTGATTGGACAAGGCCCTGGTCAACCTGCTCTAGCTGTCTCTGTTTTGAGCAGGAGGTTGGACTAGGCAATCTCCAGAGGTCCTGTCCAGCATCAACCATGTTGTGATTCTGCAACATTTTTCATTTTGAGGACACTCTGTGTTGCAGCTGGAGATGTGTGGGGCTCCCAGCGTCTCTGCTTTGGAACTGCTCAGCATGGCAGGCAGCGGTCTCAGCAGAGATGGGAACAAGATGCAAAACTGGCTTGACAAGAAAGGATTAGCAAGATTTTATGGTTTATGCCAAATTAAAGCAAACCTGAACTGGTGGAACATTGACATCTTTGGGGAAACAGATCAAACTGCCCAATTCCATCAGGATCGAGGCTGTTTTTTTGCAGGAGCCAATCATGCTGATGAGGATCAGGGATTCGGTGCTGCCTGACAAAGATGATGTGACAGAGGCTATTGATTGACAGAGGCAGTGAGCAGTGGTGATGACCAGGATTGTTTCTCGGTCTCCTTTATCACAGAGCCTTGAGACTTTGGCAGAAAGGGTTTCTGCTGCCAGAATGTTGTGTGATATGTAGCTAAGTGATGAAATGAGCACTGGGACTGCATCGTGCGCATGATGGTGGTGCAGAAAGAGTTAGAATGAAGCAAGCACAGCAGTGAGCACAGTGGCAAAAGCCCTGCCCTGAGCCAAGTCCCCAGCCTGGGCTCCTTTTCTCAGTGGCTTAATCATAATTGCAGCTGGATTTCTTAAATCAATGAATAAACAGACCTGTTGAAGCCTATCCCCAGGGGGTCTGAAAAAAGATCTGCTTGTCCCCATCACCCCCGCAGCAGCTGCTGGGAGAGGCTGAATGGAACAGAGCTGTGTGCAAACATGCTGGCCCTTTGCACGCGCAGACTCTGGCTGCAGGAGGGCTGGCCAGGTGCCCGGCACCGTAAAGGGCAACATTTCAGCTAATGTAGGCACAAGGTATGGGGTGGATCTGGTGTCATCCCCGAAGAGGCATCAGGTGGCTCCAAAGGGGAGGGAAAGATGCAGTACTTCACTCTGCTCTGGGATGGAACTAAGAGATAAATTGGGTAATTACAGAGCTCGCTGCACTATGTGAGTTCTGGCTGCAGCAGCTGCGGTCCAGGAAGTGTGAATCTAGGCCCTAGTGCCCTGGTGCCTGCAGCACACTGCATGCACAGGCTGGAAGCATGGGTCCCATGGCTTTTGGTAGGATACGTGGTCTATGTTTCTGGATCCCCTTGTGCACCTCACTACGGATCCTGCTCCCTCTTCTGCACTGCACACTCCACACGGCTCCTGAATAGACACGCTCAGCAGCAGCCTGGGGACTGCAATGCAGACCGGAGCCTGCAGGGTGGAGGGAAGGCATGGGCCACCGCTTTGGTATTGCAGGGGCAGGGTGATGGGTTGAGCCTGGATCCGTTAACTGGACAGATCCCTTGGTGATAACACTTCTTCCAGTTAGGAAGTGTTGGTAGGAAGAAGTGGAAGCAGAAGCTGTTTACTAGACAGAAATGTGAAATGCAGATATGAAAGTGATTGCCCCAGGTCGTAATAATGGTCAAACAGTGCCACAGATGAGTCATCTCAGAATTAAAATGTTGATTATTGAAGAGAGCTCTTAGGCAAATTATTTGGGCTAACCACAGGTCACAGATGTCCCCAACATATAGACCGTGTTGTGATGCTGGCTGGACTCAGGACATAAAAGGGAGGGTAGGACCAGGTTGGATAGTGGGGTCAATGTCATCTCTTCTTTCTACAGGAAGACTAATGAAAGTCACTCTATTGGACTGGCTGACCCAGTGACCAAAGGCAGGGCAGAGGTCCAGCCTTCAGGACCTCTTCAGTTAGGCTTCTGGTGCCATTTCTAGAAGCTTGCAGCATATAATCTTCCTTCTGTCTTGTCGACTCTGACACTATGTTACTTCCATCCCTTCCCACTTAAACCCTGTTAAGTATCATTACTAGGACTGTGACTGAAGTTTCTTAGGAAGGGTAGTGAAGGAGTAATTCTCCATATTCCCCAGAGTTCCCTCGTAGTCTTGTATCCTGAACAAGACCACATGCTGACCATCCTGTGTGACCCTTCCCACTCCACACACGGATGTCAGGTCTTGAGACTGCAGAGGGTCTGAGCACTAGATCCTAAAAATGAGTGGGGGAAAGAATCTCAGGCCAGGGAATATGATAGGGCAGATGCAAGACTGCATAGTGCCTGTGCCTGCCTCTTCCCACACTGCTTGTTCTTGAGTTTTGACTTTCACTTCAAAGACAAAGCAGGCAAGAGCTTTGATAAAAACCACAAAATATGACCCTGTTCTGAACAACTGTCCTTCTGAGCATGGGGATCAAAAGAGACAATAGCTGGGGGATAAAGATGGTGGGAATTTGTTACCTTTCATTCTTATTCATGTAGGGGCATGTTGGCGACAACTGCAACCCAGCTGATGTATTCTAGAGCTGCCTGTAGCTGAGAAGCCATGAGAAGTCATAAAGCCCCGTTGTCATGCCAAAGGACAAAGAGCTGCAGGATTTAAAGTGGCTGGATCAGAAGACACCTGGTCCCTGACTGGGAAACATGCAATGGCTCCTGGAGTTTCAGCCATTAGCCTTTTTTTCCTCTATCCTGCATCCCTGAGTGGAGATGCAAGAACCAGAGGGAAATGCCTTAGACAGAGAGATCAAAGGAACTGCCTCGGTGTTTTCCACATCCTGTAGCTTGGGTTGCACAGTACCTTGCTACCCATACTATAATTTTAATTCTCCTTGTACTGTGTTGGGCTATCCGTGCCAGTGCTAACCACAAGAAGAGGACTGACTACTACTAAATCCCATAACA